CGATCTGTCCATCGGTTCACTTCGTTTCTTTTTTTTCGAAGATCCTTTTTTAGTGTACTCGATAAATTCACCCGAAATTTAACGCCCGCGCCTGTCGATTGTAATTCCCAATGCAAAATCCGTGTCTCGTGGGTATGACGGCTATGTCACTCACTTCATACCGTATATTTCATTTTTTTATTTATTCGGAGAGCGAGGGGACAATAGAAGGAGCGACTGATGGAACTGTCAGGGGTCGAGGAATATTCTGTAATCAAGAGTATTTTTGCCATTTGTCCTTTTGTTGATTTTACGATGGAAATTTCAGGATAAAGTTGAGAGATTTTACCAAATGTTCGTCCGCTAAATTGAACCGCCAAAAATTCCCGTAATTACGAAATGATTAATTAAAAAATAGTAAAAATTGAGGTCAATTCGAAGGTCAATTCGGATTTTAAACTCGCGAATCGCGGAACTGAAAATGGAAATTGGGAAATTAAAAATGGAGGGTAATCTAATAATTATTTATAATATATAATAATTTTTTTGATTTTTGGGATAATCCACCCCTTTTTTCGTAAATAAATTACATATTATTTATTCAGTTGAAAGCTCATTAAATAATTATCTCGAAGGCGATTCGCTGGTGCCCGTACATTTTATTATCCAAGAAACTCGTGAAAAAGTCGGATAGAACCATAAGTAGGAATGAAGAAGTGCACGATTAACGATCTCAGAAAAATCGGAGACTTTCGTCGGCAACGGTGACGAAAGACCCGGCATTCGTCAACGGCTTCCCCTCAGTCTCGTCATTCCAACTCGCTTATTCCTCTAGGAACTCTAAAAAATTTTAGGGGCAATGAAAGATTTAATAATATGGAAATTCTTGACGTGTTAATGATGCACAAAAATTATGGAAATGATATATTCAAATTTTTTTCGAATTACGTCATCCTATATAAAAAAAAACAATAATATTATTATGATTCATTTATTTATTGCCAATTTTGTTGATGAATGTATAATAAAAGCCCGTCTCAATTTTATAATCGATTTCCACTATTTTTTTGATGAAATTTTGAATTCATTCGGTTTTGCTGAAAAATTGAATTTTATCATAATTAAGATTTCGGGGGATTTCAAAGGATTTAAATATTACTTGTACACCAGATTTCAATAATGATTACTCCTCGTATAGCCTATTCGAAGGACTTCATATAAATTTCGAAATGATAATTTATTTTTGGTAGATTGGCGTGCACCAGCTTCCACAGCCTTTGAAAGTATCACCAGGTCTCACACAATTTCCATCAAGTTTCCCATACGGTTATTTAATCTCCATCAAAAATTCAGTACAAAAACGAGGGACGGGGTCTCCGAGGAAACGAGCCATTAAGATTGAACCAAGAGCCACGAGAATAGGGTGCAACACCCGCTGGAGCCTCAACGGGGATGAACGTAAGAAACTAATTTTCGCGATATTGGTTTTACAAAATTGGTTATTGATGTTCTTTTCTCGTTGGATATAGGTGAGGGGTTGAAACCCCGAGGTTCTCGGTATAGTAATGACGCTGGAAAGTTGGAAAGTCCAACCTGATTATCTTTGAGACGACGATGTATAGCGTAGGCAGGACCATTTTCATTTTTTTTTTTTCTTTTACTTTTTACTCTCCATTGCCTTTCCATTGCCCCTCCATTGCCTTTCCATTGCCTTTCCATTGCCCCTCCATTGCCCCTCACGTTTTTCCACTGTATTTTATCGGACGTATCTTCCTGGGATCGTTGACTTAGAGTTCACTCTCATGGCTACTATGATTTTTACCCACATGGTGCACTGACCTGGAGGATCATTAGAACCACCAGTATAGTTATAGCTGGATCCTCTTATCGTTCGATCTCATTTATGGGGATGAGGGAAGCCACCAGATATTTTTTTAATCGGATAGCTTTTACCTTGGTGTACTCCAGGCACTATTTTTTATTCTGTTTTATAAAGAGGTGGGTTTTATGGTACGTATTTCATCGTATTGAGGATGGATTTTTGATGTACGCGGTATCAAGGGTGAGGTTTTTCATTTTTAATGTCGTTTTTCGGTTTTTGTTTCCTTCGAATGGACGCATTGTAATCGGTGATGGTTAAGTTTTTCATTATTTATGTTTCGACTCGTTATGACTTTAAAAATACAGAAATATTGAAGCTGTAATTGAAATAGATTGGAATTAGATATTTCTGTAATTTCCGCAGCCTCAGGCTCTTTCTACTGGTAGCTAATTTTTTTATTTATTCATTCATGTCGATGTAAGAAATGGTATATTATGCATCAAGGGCGGAAAGTCAGTGTTTTCCCATTTGAGTTTATTTTATTGTGAATGTAGAAACAAAAATGAATCTCGAAACGCGTAGGACTAATTCCTCATTGGTCAACTCGAACCGCCGAATTCAAATTCAAAGCCCGGAGTGGCACGGGAGGAAAATGATTACTTTTCGCACTAGGGTGGAAATGGAATCGATGAGTCACCGCCCGTCTTAAAATCATAGTGGCGGAAAGATAAAATAACTCTTCAATTCGATTATATTAGGATTAATTTTCAAGACTAATGGGATAATTCTCCATGAACATGCGCAATCCTTATTATGAAAGTATAAACACAAAAATGAAGTTCGCCCGAGTCGAAATATCTCGAAACGCGTAGGACTAATTCC